CCGATTGGGAATTCTTGAGAGGTGGTTACTTTGAAAATATGAAGAGTTGGGGTGTTGTGTTTAACTCTTGTAGAGAAATAGAGGGTGTTTTTATCGATCGAGTAAAGAAAGAAATGGGCCATGATAGGGTTTGGGCCGTTGGGCCCTTGCTACCTTTGGACAATAATTTGGTAGGCCCATATTATTTTCAACGTGGCGGGTCGAGTGTGATGCCACGTGATGAAGTGATGACGTGGTTAGACGACAAGGCCGATGATTCAGTTGTTTATGTGAGCTTCGGGAGTCGTGCAATGTTGACACGACAGCAAGCGGATGCCCTGGCGACAGCCTTGGAGTGTAGTGGGGTGAATTTCGTGTGGTGCTTGAGAATTCAAGAGGAAGGACACGTCGCAGGCTACAAGGACGTGATCACGAAAGAATATGAGAATCGAGTAGCAAATAGAGGGTTGATAATCAAAGGTTGGGCTCCACAAGTTGCGATACTAAGACATCGAGCTGTGAGTGTTTTCTTGACTCATTGCGGATGGAACTCGATACTAGAAGGCATATCCTCTAAGGTGCTCATGCTAACATGGCCTATGGGTGCAGACCAATTTATAAGTGCAGAATTGTTGGTTAACGAACTCAATGTGGGAATTAGAGCTTGCGAAGGTGGTTGTCAGGTAGTCCCAGATTCAGTCGAGTTGGCTCATATCTTATCCGAGTCAATTACTGGAGCCCCCCCACAGAAAGAGCGAATGAGTAAACTCCATGATTCTGTCTTAGAGGCCCTTCAAAAGGGAGGGAGCTCTAGTCAAGATTTGGATGCATTTGTCAAGCAAATTAGGTCAACTTCAAAATGAAACTATTTGATCATAAGAAGAAGAAAAATTGTACTTTTGAGACTTGAGATTGATAGGCCCACAAAAGATGAAGGTAGAAAACGGTTCACCTTCATATATTGTTAGGTAAATCAAGTTAGCCACGTTAATAATTCATCGAACTTTTTGAGGTTCTACGGCATTTTCTCTTTTCAATGCGCATACGTCCTTTAACTCGAACCTTGATTGACATCCTTTTTCCAGCGTATAGTACTCTTCCATTTCTGCATTTCATAATCTCCTGTTACCTTCCTTCTAATTCAAATTGAACTCAAATGCTTTCCCAATGTATTGTAGCTGATTTGATTTTAGTAACCTAAACAATATATGGAGTAAAATTATAACCATTTTTTTTTTGCAATCCACTAGGCATTGCCTAGGGCTAGTTTTTATAAATATATAAATCAAAAAACAAAAACATTGTCAGGAGGTCTTACATAATGAAAGAAATAAACCTTGACGATTACATGAAACCTACTATCAATATTAGACCACCTAATTGTCCTGGTTTGGTAGTAATTAGGGTTGATAGGGACTTTATGGGTATTTGTGAAGAGTTAAAAAATGGGGATATTTTGGAGGTATATGTAGATCACATGGTTGATGAAGTTGTAGTGGTCCCCCTCTATTAGAATATGTCAGCCAAGTGGGGGTGATAGTAATGTTACTTTTGAGAAGGAATCTGGTCAAAATTTGGGAGGCTGTGAGGGTTTGGGAACTTCTGAAAAGGCATCCAATACGGCTGAAAATAGTTCCAATATCAGTGTGCTTACAGCTGTTACTACTGATGATAGTTCAAACTCCTCATCTGAATCAAATTCATCTGAATCTAGTAGCAGCATTAATAATAGCTCAGATTCAGAGCATGAGGAGTTGTTTGAAGAAGGAGAAGCTGATTATGGAAGTGATACACATAAGGAATACATGGCATTTAGGGCATAAAGAAGGATTGTAGAGAGGAGGAAGAGGAAAGAAAGCGCTCCTGAACAAGAACATGTTAAACTAGGTAAGAGAGGGCCAGATATGGGGTATGATGAATATGAATCTAGGAAGAAGAAGAGTTTAGAAGGTAAGATAGGTGGTGATG